TCAGGGAGGAATAGACAACAGCTTTGTAATGATGGATTAAGGCTGCATGACGGGGAGAAGAGGAGCTTTTAGCACAATCCAACAGTCTTCACTCCATAACAATCCTTCGTCCATTTCCGATCAGGCCAACTCGCAAATCCCTTCGAAATAACTCTTCCTCCTAAATGGAATGTTGGGTTACTTCTCGTCAAGTTACGCTTCAAGTTACTTATGGGATACCATTTTTAACCGTAATCTTCTTGTTTATGCGTCTAGGCAGATCTGAAATATCTCATTACGTTGTCATTGAAGACGGAGAACAGTGGACCTAGTGGCAATGATTTGTGAATCAATTTCTGCTAAAACAAAAGACCAGTTTCTTTCAGGCGCTGTAGAGGCCGATTAAAGAAATTCATATTCGCTCTTTTGTTAAGAAAGGAAAACGATCCTCAATGGCCACCCATCGAGAATTATATGATCCATCTTTTCATACACAGATATCTTCAAGCTAAAATGCAAATTTGTGAACTCCTTTCCGTGTGAGTGACCTTCTTATATGGCAAGCTCCCATAGTAATGGCAAGTAATGACAGTTTATTCGAGAACACGACGAGTAGTACACCTGTGGAGTGACCGATTTGTGCTGAAGGCACTATGCTTGCTGCTGCGTCTGTGCAGCATTACTTCTGTTCCACAGCTACCCCATGACGAGATAGTCGAGCTCTTATACGCTTGTAAAAAGGTCTGATAGATTTCAAGTATTCTACCAAAAAATGTATATTTAAGCATATTCTCTCTGTCTCTGTCTCTGTCTCTTTCTTATGCAAACACACACACACATATATATATATACATACTAACCTGAAATTTTTTAAATTCCAGGTGGCCTCGACAATAAAATGAATAGAATTAGAGGCTTCTAATAAAATTTTTATTAGATATTCCCCCGTTGGCTGTCTTCACTAACTTTGACCTCGTCATAAACGTGAACTCGCTTGTGAGAACACAATGAATGGCCCAGTTAAAGCGTCAAATTAATTAGTTAGTCTTCCTCTATGATGGGTACAAATACTTGAGGTTGGCTTATTGTCAAGGCCTTGTTAACGGTTATAGACATCGAGCTAAATAGAGCATAAAAATTCCCCATAAATCGCGTATTTTGTGTTAATGGTTATTTCATACTACC